CGATTAAATGCGATTTTAACCCTGTTCTGGTCGTTTATTGTTATTGCCACTGACAATAGATTAATCTACAGTCTTTCAGCTACAAGTCGAGTGCTTGATCAAGACGAATGCTGTCCATATAACGCCGTGAGACTTGTCCAAATATGAAGTAAACAAGGAGTGCTTGACCGGGCCCAGTGACCTCTTGCGGATGCTTCGGGGGTTCTATGACCCCACATACCAAGCTACTTACACACACAGTAAATCTCACAGGTCTCTTGTGCATGGTCCGGGAGTCTATCAGCAAGAGGACACAGGAGTTGTGCTATTATGTACTACTATGTGCTGCTATTGTGCGTAGCAGTTCGTGTCAGTGCGTACGTACATATTGTAATTAATACGACGGTATAACACATCAAACAAATTAAGAAATACAGTGAATTTTACTGTTACCTCAACAAGAAGAAATGTTTCCGGCGTATGCCTATTTATCTGCTTATGACAGACACAAGAAACTGATAAATGACTATTTAACTTTACATGGAGGCTCCATAACATCTCTGAAACGAGACACGTATGTTAAATTTTCTAATCAGTACTTATCTTTATAATAATTCGATGATACGGTTAGTTTTGTTTAATTTCTTCTTGTATGTATGTCTGCTTACGTAAAATATTTTACGATAACTCGGAGTTATGTAGAACATATTCCGAGTTAACCTGTGAAAAGAGATTCCATGATACATTTTATTAAACGTAAACAACGAAGAAAAATGATAACTTCTGTAAACCTTAAAACGAGCAGCACTTGATGTTTCGGCCTGTGTTTCGAGGTCCCGAGATAAGACAGACTATGACGTTATTAAAGAAAACCATAGGTTTCTTTGGGATCAAGATAACGATTTACCGGACACATGGGGCGATCGGCTGGCGAAAAAATATTACGACAAATTGTTCAAAGAATACTGTTTAGTTGATTTAACTTACTACAAACAGAACAAGGTATATATTTCTACAATATAAATCTTTATGCAAGTATAGAATTTTATGAACGGATTTTCAAAAACGGAATTTAAACAAAGTTTGTTTATTATGAGAGTACTCTTGTGTTTCAACTAAAGTAAAAGCTTTGTTTAATTTTGTTAAACACTTTAGTATATAATATATTTTACCTGACTGATAGCGTAATTATTATTATGTTTATACATCGGATATGTCTTCACTGATTTATTATTGCACAAGGAATCATTCCATGCATAGTAGTACTATCAATGGAACTAAATCCTGTATAATACATTTTATTTTATTGCATTTTAAGAGTTAATCTTAAACAGGTTGCCTTAAGATGGAGAACAGAGAAAGAAGTAATAGTTGGTAAAGGGCAATTTGAATGTGGAAACAAAAGGTGCAAAGAAAAAGAGAATCTTAAGTCTTGGGAAGTAAATTTTGGTTATGTGGAACACGGAGAGAAGAAAAATGCTCTCGTGAAATTAAGTAAGCAGTTCACATTTTTAATATGTGTAAGTTTGAGCTATATGTTTGTTAACAAGGTTCAATTTCAGGGTTGTGTCCAGAGTGTTCTATAAAGTTAAATTATCGAACACAAAAACGGGAAGTGAAGAGATATAAATCATTAAAGAGATTAAGAACATATTCAGAATCACAGACTAATACACCAAGCACATCCACGATGAACATAAAAATGGAAGAATGCGAGCCCATAAACAATGCCGAGGAATCTACTACTGTACAAACAGAGAAGGACGAGTCACAAATATGGAAAGAAAAGCCAACGGACAGTGCAGAAAAGACTAGGGAAGAAGAGTTTGAAGAATACTTAGCAGATCTGTTAATGTAACATACATTTAAGTTTATGTGATATTATCCGTGCTGTCAAAAAATTGTTTATTAATAACGTTGTTAAGGAATATGACAATTTTCACACATAATACTAGTCATGTTTAAATAAATATAACAATTACAATCGTTGTTCTTTTATTATAATAGATACACGATTCATATTCTACCATTACATTGCATGGTAACAAAGCTTAATATACATTTTTTTACTTATTTTTATACACTGAATAACTCTTTCTTTCATTTACAGTTGTATTTCAAAATAAGAAAAAGAAAAATAGCACCAATCAATGTAAACATATACGTATACATGTATATACGCGATGTATAATTTACAATAAATAAATACAATTATTTACTTATTTTATTGCAGTCTAGCACCTTCAACAACCTTCATAATTATATACATTTTTAAAAACAAAGTAACCTTTTAGCTTACCTTTTTTCTAAATAATACATTTTTTATCATTTACGCTTTATAAATAAAAGTATCGAAAAATTGCATATTGTCTGATTCTTGCAAGACATACTAATTATCTTTTTTCATGTGAAATTCCTTGCAACAGTAACAAGATTTCGTATTATTAGCTATGTATAAGAGCACATGTTTTATGCATTCTTGGATGCATCTATTTAACGAAGATAACAATTTCATTGGTATCCTCTTTAATGTAATTCTACGCTTTTACTCTCATTATGTCAGTAAGCTAAAATTTCATGTAAAAAGACTAGCCTAATACTCAAACTTACTCTTATCTTCAATATTTATAACACTTACTATCCTCATAGAATGTATAACAACTTTATGTTGCACGAGATTGGTCATACAAAAACGTACAATATCTAATTGAATAAGTCTATATAGTTTAAAAATCTTTAATATAATGGAAAAAAAGTATCTCTAAGAGAATCCCAATTGTGCAAGAAACATGTACATCTAGAAGTAACGCGTAACTAAAGAATGCTATTTTTTATAATTAACGAGCAACAAAGTATTGCCCCTATTGTCACCTGATTAAAAAGTCATTAATAATATGAAAGAATGAACTAGATTCTGCATTTGATTTACCTTCTCTTTGTTAACTAATATATACTTCATAATATTCTTAATATAGATGTATGCAAATAATAATTTATTACCATGTACAAGAATCACTAGATTTTTCGATCAGAAATGGTGTTTGCATACATTTGTACAATTTAAATGAAATTCAACATAAATCCAGAGCTAAATCAACAAGGATTCCATATATTAACATGCACGCTAATATACATTGCTGTATGCAATAACGAATAATTTGCAACTATGTATGTCATATATCACACGACTATTAATTCAGTTTTAGTACATCAACACGTATACATATGTTGTAATCGTTTTGGAATAATCATTTTACTGACAATGTCGCAATCACGTGAATGTAGTAAAATGAGATACAATACTCTAACCAAAACGAATGAATTTTAGTTAGAGAAACGATATTTCTGTATCAATTTTCATTAAATAATTCAGTGAATTCGATAAAGATTTAAAAATATAGTCACGGTATAGTAAGACCGTGACAAATGTTTCAATAACATTATTCGATAGTTTGAACGGATGCAGGAATGAAGTGTCACGAATATATCATTCAATAAATCTGAATAAGATCATAGAGTATTCTTTCTACGTAGCAGGATCCTATAAAAGTTTGTAATATCATTGAATTATTGAAAAAAAGAGGAACGAAACGCAACGCGAAGAAAGGATAAATAGGAGAGAATTCATTTACAATTAGCACGCGTTGAACATGATCTTACATGATTCGCCTGCTTTTGAGAGTCGCTGTCTTCATCGCTACAATCTTCATCGTGCGTATGCGTTACATTCCTTGGAGTTTCAGGCCTCGCATGTGGTATTTGATTGTTGACACAATCCACGTATAATGTTTTCTAACGATTGGATATATTCATTGGTTCCATCGGAATAAAAATTTACGATAAACTCATTGTGCGAAACGTTAGTTTTTCCTAACGTTTCCTTAATGGAGAAACGAATGTGTGAATACTTACGGATGGTTTGCTCGGTTCTTCTTCTTCGTCGGTAAGTTTAAAGGTTCGCGATCGACTGATCATTGGTGTTTCCATTACAAATCTCTGCTCGTGAGCTACGGTACTTTCGTGAGGCATCTAAATGAATATTCAATGAAACTGTATTAAGAAAATTCATGTCAGAAAAAAGTGGAGCTTGTACCTTGCACTTACCAACATGGCGGGTGCTCTGAACATGTACGAAAATGGATAATAGATTAAGTTTAAGAAGGTTGCCGCGTAGAGGTCAGCGTACCTTACTACTTGACTACTAAAGAAGGTTTGTCTGCTTCCACTTCGAAACAGGGAACCCATCATACCGTAAGATAGATCCATTTTGTGCGTGACGTCTCTTATGGACGCCCGAAGCTTAGAAATGTCAGGTTTTTCTTTTGTGCTGCTATCTAAATTTCTAAAGAGAAAATCCATAAAATATAGAAAGTGATACCTTGAAGATTGTACTTGGTGTATCATATGTAGGTTAAAAATTCTATTTTACACTTACTTATACATTTCCCCTAACATAACATCTAAGCTTTGTAATTCAGCGAATAATTGACATTTATCTGTCCAAACGTGAAGCTCTTGAACTAGTTCAGGCACTATTAAAAATGTTCTCCAGCCACGGATTTTTTTACTTTTCAGGATATCACCGAAAATGTGATCGCCGACGTATAATACATCTTTTCCCTTCGCCCCTATTAGTTCAGTGAAGACGTCGCATGAACCGCCTGAATAAACTTCACCTGTTTTCAAAGAAGATACTCCGTTATTACGGCTTTCACCGAACGGAACCAGACATTTTCGACAGATGTTCAAGTGTTGCAGTTTCGCCGAACCGGTTGTTAACACGATACTTGTAATCATATTTACTTGGTTATTTCATAAAATTTTCATTATAAGTTAGTTGTGAACCGATTGTTAAATTATATGAATCCCACCACTGGACTATACGTATATCTCGACATACCTGTGTGAAGTGGACCCTTGTGGGTGCCAAGCTTCAAAGCACCAGTTCTTGTATCTACCTGTCTCAAAATGGTACCCTCGCCGAAAAACAATGGCTTTCTCGCGTCTACTACGATAGTATCAAAATACGTATTCCAACTTCGATGTGGTTCATCCGGCTGCAGGAGACCGAAGAATAGCAATTATGTAATAAATGAAACAAGACATCGTTCTTGTACAGGGTGTCCAGGAAATTGCGGTGCAACTAAGTTGTGTACTACTGTTGTCTGTCTGTTTATTGGTGATTATTTTAACTTCAAATAAAACTGGTTTCGTGTCTTGAATGATCCATTAGGTTAATATTCTTAAATAGGAGAAATTTAAGGGAAGGATTTCGTTACTAATTTTTCGTTACGTTCGAATAGATTAATTTGATGGATTCTCTTATGAATTCCAGTACTATGCGTAATTGTTTCTTCAGATTCAAATATTTATATGATGACGTTTGTTTTCTTTGTTTCTCGGTTGCACTACAGTGTACTGGACAGCATACGAAATAACAATACTGTTAAAGTGTACACACTTTAGCTCCATGCGGGAAGTCGAAGAGATAAGTCATAATCTTATCGGTAAAAACGTAATCGCTATTCGTTAGAAGAAACACTTTCGCCCCGCTCTCTCGGATCCTATTCAGAAACATCGGCAGCCTCTCGTCCTTTTTCACATACTCGTCCAAGTTCTCGATGGTCTTCGTTTTCAGGTCGCCGTGCAGATGTATCCAGTCGACCGCGCTTCGAACATCCTGGAATATACTCTTGAAGCTCATCGTGAGGTCTCCCTCTTTCACTCCGGTCTTTTCCCGCGTGTACTGCCGCGAATTGGTAAAAAAGTCTATCAGGCAGGCGATCAGATACGTCTCGGGAAGATTGAACAGCGTGTTGAGCACGTAAACTCTGGACTCGTCCAATTGTAAAAATTTGTTCGGATAAAGCTCGTACACTTGTGAACTGAAAAGCATTAAGAAGAATTATAGGAATGATTGAACTACATGTCAGCCCTCTCTAACAAAGATGACGAGCCGGGTAAGCTGACGACCGTAAACTTACTGTTTCAAGAATTCGAAGCCATGAACGCAAACCAGGATATTTCCATAGGCGTCCACTTTGAGCAGATTTCCATAAAGCGTGTCGAACCACAACCCTCGCACCGGGAAGCTGGGATCATACTCGAACGCCTTGATCTCTTGCGGATAACCCAACGACACCAAACGATCCTTCAGCAACGTGAAGCCCAATTGCTCGTACTGCGGCGACTTGTATTCTGAAATGGTTACGGCGGATGACGCTGCTGAGAATTTTGAAGGAAACGTGGGGAACGCACACATTCTACATCTTATGTCGTCCGACTTACCCGCCAATGTGTAATCCATATCGAATCCATAGAACTTGATGTTTTCCAGGTGTAAGCTACGATTCACAAAAATTCTGCAACAGAATCAATCGTACGAACCACCGGATTTAATAAAATAAAACCACCTTCATTAATATGGATGGGGACATTTAGGGAACATTATACTGTTACTCCGGGAAAAACGAGTTAACTGGTCGTTCGTGTTCGACCAAGTGTCTGAAATTTATTGTAGCACGAGTACCATCGAATGAATTGATTTCATTAAATTTCTTGTTAAATCACCCTTCTCGCAGTTCAATTGTCCAAGTGACTTATTTTACTGCAGAGTTGAGCAGAATTTCATTCGAATAATACACAGTGAAAAGCAACAGTATCTAAGGGCGTCATTCAAAGCTTTAAACATTTAATGAAAAGAAGTACATATCGTTTGTATTACAAAAATTCGAGTTTCCATGTTTAAATGATTAAAAATGACGAGATACTATTTTCATCTTTTATTCGTTATTCGAAAGTTTTTATGTAGATAATGATTTTGCCCATCTCTGTTTGCGATCTCTCGCGTCGAACCTGTTTATTGCGATCGCTCGACGAGCCTTCGTGAGCATTTTCGTGTTCTCAGTTTCCAAATCCTCCGATTCGATCAGGGACACACGGGGCATCCTCATGATCTCGGAATCGCTAAGTTTTCGCGATGTCTGCATAGCCTCCGTTGAAATGCACATACACATATACTTCTTTCTTCGAATAAACGGGATAAATCACAGCGATATACCTTTTTTTCGCGAGAATCAATTAAGGCTTTAAAGGTTACGTGATCTCGTTTCAATTGTTATTATCGATCGAATTCTCAACTCCGTACAGTTTGTCACTTCAGCCTCGACTACGCCTCTCCCGGGTATCAGTTGATTTCGCGTATCTTATCGAGAATCCGTGTTTCGATAAGTTTAATTAATTACGATCGTTTGTCGTCGAAAAAACGTTCGTTTCTCCGCGAGGCTGCACTTCTGAAAACTCGATATATTTTCGCGAAAATAGATAACATTCCGACGCCGCGCCGTTTCTGTGACCGTGGGGAATGTTAACACTTGCAGCACCAAAACGGATCGTTCGAATAATGCCGGGAAACGTACGTATGTATGATAGGTACGCGAAGAGGTTCGTGTTACGTAACACGAATGACAATCGGAGTATTTATTCTCGCGTGATGAAAACGGCAACGACGAGCTGTATGCATACATACACATATGTACGAACTAATCGCAACATCGTCCAGACTTGGTCCAGACGGGCCGAACAACGAAAGTACATAATAATCAGAACAGGAACAGATTTGTTAAATCCGTCAGTTCCACTTACGAAAAGACTGATAGATGTTATCCGCTCGATAATTAAATCGATTCAAATCGGATCTATGACCTCGACAATTTAACATAATTCAAATAGACGTTAATTTATTCACCGTATGTTAAAGAACTGTCATTTCATACGTACTCGTCTCGTGTATCTTGTGTATTATGTAGTAGCAATTTTATTTCTGAATTATACGTTAAACAAATGACCAGTAGGTATCTCGTTGCTGTATGTATGCTCCACTACTGCATATTGTTATCTACACTTATCGAAGAATAAAGATGCAAAACCAAGTATGCAAATACTTTTATTCAGCGAATCGACCTGAAATCTGCATTGTCAATAGAACCACCTGTGATGTTGCAATCGACACCTGTGGATGTAGATAAATACTAAATACCACTGCACAAAGTTCATTTTCGTTTCGGAAGACCATACCTTGATCACGATCGTGAAGAGTCACAACAACAGTATCGTCTTCCGAAGACGTATGCATATTGTATATAGAATGTTAATAGTAACAATATTCGACCAAGAACTGCGTACGTATCGTACGGTGCAATTTCGTGCACGGGACGACACAATCACTTGCAAACGATTCGTCGAATAAGGCCAGAAAATAAAACAAGTAATTTTGGTAACATATAGAGAAACCTTCCAGATAAGGTATCCTAGATCATCGCGAAAGAGAATGGCACACACGTGGTGGGGGAACTTACTCGTTCAATGCAG